ACCGAAATAAAACACTGCCTGAGTTCTGCGAGTGCAGCATTTTTGTGAATGAAGCAGTGTTTGAGGACCAAGATATCCGTAGGGATACCAAGATGCTTGTTTATAAAGCTATTGTCCTCCCAACCCTGCGAAACGTGGACTGTCTACAGAGGTCACATGCAACTCCTAGAACGATTCCATCAGCGCTGCCTCCGGAAAATCCGGAAAATCTCTTGGGAAGTCAAGTGGACAAATGTCAGCATGCTGGAAGAAGCAAAGACCACCAGCATTGAAGCGATGGTCCTCCGCCATCAGCTCCGCTGGACCAGCCACGTTGTCCAGATGCCCGACCACTGTCTCCCAAAGCAGTTGCTCTACTCCGAACTCAAGAACGCAAAACAGAATGTTGGTGGGCAGGAAAAGAGATTTAAAGATGGGCTCAAAGCCAACCTTTAAAACTCTGGTATAGACACTGAGAACTGGGAAGCCCTGGCCTGTGAGCGCTCCAGCTGGAGGTCAGCTGTGACCAGCAGTGCTGCAGAATTTGAAGAGGCACTAATGTTTGGTGAAAGAGAGAAATGTGCCAAGAGGAAGCCAACCCCGACCAGGACCATCTTCCACCTGGAAACCAATGCCCACACTGCGGGAGAAGATGCAGATCAAGAATAGGGCTCTATAATCACCTACGGATGCACTGTGGAGGATTATCCTACTCGGACAATGAGGGATCACCTAAATCAAAAAAATAAATCATGGTGAATTCTCCCCAAACCTTTCTAGTTTGTTTAGTTACTGATCAACCCCTCTGTTTGCTGTGTGCCATAGAAAAGAATAGGAAAGGGTTAAGGGAGAGGCAGTGGGCGGTCTACTTTAATTTAACCTAATTTAACAGATACCTGGACAGAATAGTACTTTGGCATTCTGAATTGTTCAGCTCCCTTTCACATAGTTAATGGGAATCTAGGTCACACAATGGTGAGAAATGGGCACCAGCTGGCATGACAAATGCCCAGTTTATCTTAGCCTGGAGCAGGCAACATGGCAATGTGATGTCACAGACATGGGTTGGAATGCCATATGGCTCAGCATTGCATAGCAGTTATGCATTTGGAACTATGCTATATCTGGATTTACTATTGGAACGCTGCAGCCCCTTTTCCACAGAGAGGTTTCTGACTATCTCCCTGGAGTGGGGTGCAAAGGCTATACATTGTCCATATTGTGAGATACTGTGACTTATTGGAAAAGGCTTGGTAATGGGGACAGGATTGTTGCACCGTGGGTCTTGAAACACCAATGACTATACCATCACACAAGAGTCCAGAGAAAAACGGTTTATTGTAAAAACACATAAAATATATATGAAAAATCAGGATCAAAGAAAGAAGATGTATAATCTAAAAAAGGGTTAGCAATAGGTGATAACCAAACAGAAATCCAAATGTCTCATGCAAATCTCAAGGTAACACAGTCCAGGAATAGTCAAAAAGTCACAAATACAGCATACATCCACAGGCAAAAGGTATACTTAGTAAAACTTGAACAGGAATACAAAAACAAGAACATAGGACACTTCCAGGATACTTAAATCAAAACTTAAATCCAGGATACTTAAATCAAAAACAAAGGCTTGACTTGAAACAAGAACCAAAGAACTCAGGCCTATGTTGAATGCTCACTTGAATGCTATGTTGCCTGAATTAACCTGTAGGTAAACAACTCGCTAATTAATAGGCACCCATGAAGTCATTTCTTTCCCCATGAATTTTATTCCTAACTTTCCCACATAATCGCTCTGACCTATGATGCCTATCTTCTGCTCTAATCTGTAAATGAATACTTTTGTTGATCTCCGTAGCTCCAGATGTTTTATTTTTCTTGGGAGCCTTCCTTATCACTTAGCTCTTCACATGACTCCTTGTCTAATGTTGCAGTTTCTGGCTCCTCTGACTGACCTCGAAGCCCTGCGCTTTCTGAGTCAGGTTTCTTCCAAAGAAAACCATCATTTCCCTGACTTGAATCTTCATCACTTTGTGCCCCAGGAAATCCCTCAGAATATCTCACAATTCTCTCTAAACTAATAGTGAACCCATCAGCCTTTCAGGCTGTATTTCAATAAGGATGCATATTAAGTGTTTCTAAACACTGGCCCATTGTTTTATTTTCTATATTTGTTAGCTATTATTATTATTATTATTATTATTATTATTATTATTATTATTATTATTGTTATTGTTATTGTTATTGTTAGTGTTAGTGTTAGTGTTAGTGTTAGAATTGGAATTGATTATATCCCCTTAGCCTAAAAGAACTCTGGATTGTCTCATCAGAGCATTTTCCAAGGAGAAAGGCATTTGGGAGTGGTTCACCATTGCCTTTTCCTTCTCATTACAGGTTGAGTGTCCCTTATTTGGGATGCCTGGAGTCAGAAGTGTTTGGGATTTTTAAATACTTGTGTCTACATAATGAAATAGTTTTGTGATGGGGCCCACATTTAAACACAAATTAGATAAAGGTAAAGGTTTTCCCTTGACATTAAGTCCAGTCATGTCCGACTCTGGGGGTTGGTGCTCATCTTCATTTCTAAGCCGAAGAGCCGGTGTTGCCCATAGACACCTTCAAGGTCATGTGGCCAGCATGACTGCATGGAGCGCCATTACCTTCCTGCCGGAATGGTACCTATTTATCTACTCACACTTGCATGCTTTCGAACTGCTAGGTTGGCAGAAGCTGGGGCTAACAGTGGGAGTTCAAGCTGCTCCCCGGATTCGAACCTACGACCTTTCAATCAGCAAGTTCAGCAGTTCAGCACTTTAACCTGCTGCACCACCGGTGGCTCCAAACACAAACTACACCTGTGATATTTATTTATATTTATATTGTCCTGGATGGCTCTCTAGTAATTCCCAGCACCAGCTGCAACACTTTATTCCCATCCTTCAAGGGATTTATCAAATTTCACAGCAAAACTTTAAAGCAGGCATGGGCAAACTTTGGCCCTCCAGGTGTTTTGAACGTAAGCTTAAGTGGCTGATAGGGAAAAATAAGGGGCCTGGGAATGTTAGGAATTGTGGGAGTTGAAGGCCAAAGTTTGCCCATGCCTGCTATAAACCCTTCTTTTCTAAATGGCAAAAGGGCATTATCACTTCTATTTGAAATTGGTCCCATTTTTGCATATCTAGACAGCGCAATGTCACACCCAGGAATGCTGGCCGCATGCCTTGGTGCTTATCGTAGCAATGTTTTCTTAATTACTGTGACAAAGGAGCGGGAGGAGGAAGTTGTGGGTGTTTCCATAAGCCTGATCTTTGGCGTATTCTTACCATTTGCAATATTCACACTTACCTCCAACAGACAAGACTTCTTTCTCCCACCCTGGACATTATTCCACAGTCTATAAATCCTACTTGCCTACTTCCCCATAGACCGCACAACCTCTGAGGATCCTCTTGGCAGTTTATCTCTTTCGCCCTCAATTCGTGACTCTTCAAATTCTATAGCAGTTCTGGTCACAGCTGACCTCCAGCTAGAGTGCTCAAAGGCCAGGGCTTCCCAGTTCTCGGTGTCTAAGGTTGGCTTTGACCCCATCTTTAAATATCTTTTCCTGCCCATCAACACTGCATTTTCTGTTCTTGAGTTCGGAGTAGAGCAACTGCTTTGGTCAGGCATCCGGGCAACGTAGCCGGTCCAGCGGAGTTTATGGCAGAGGAGCATCACTTCAATGCTGGTGGTCTTTGCTTCTTCCAGCATGCTGACATTTGTCTGCTTGTCTTCCCAGGAGATTTGCAGGATTTTTCAGTGGCAGCGCTGATGGAATTGTTCTAGGAGTTGCATGTGACGTCTGTAGATAGTCCACGTTTTGCAGGCATAGAACAGGGTTGGAAGGACAATGGCTTTATAAAAAAGCCCCTTGGTCTCCCTATGGATGTCCCAGTCCTCAAACACTCTCTGCTTCATTTGGAAGAATGCTGCACTCGCAGAGCTCTGGTGGTGTTGTATTTAAGCGTCAAAGTCAACTTTTGTGGAGAGGAGGCTGCCAAGGTAGCGGAAATGGTCAACATTAAGCTGTATTTCTGGCATTGGAGAGGGATTGCAGAACAGGGATTTGAAGCCTAGTCACACTTAGTCCCACTGTCTCCAGTGTCGGAAATTTGCTGGTTTCCAAAACATTTGGAGGCCAACAGGTGATGCTTGCAGACACTACGTTTGTGTGTTTAGTAGCCCCCTTTGTGTGTAACACAATGCCTTGGTGCCACAAGGCAAACTTTGTTGGCCTCTGTCCATGCACAGAGTGCTTTCCCCCTTTGGAGGGCCTGATGGAATTGTTCCAGGAGTTGGATGTGACGTCTGTAGACAGTCCACGTTTCACAGGCGTATAGCAGGGTTGGGAGGACAATGGCTTTATAAACAAGCACTTTGGTATCCCTTCAGATTCCTGGTCCTCAAACACTCTCTGCTTCATTCGGGAAAATGCTGCACTTGCAGAGCTCAGGCGAATGTTGTATTTCAGTGTCAATGTTGACTTTTGTGGAGAGGTAGCGGAAATGGTCAACATTTTCTAATGTTATACCATTAAGCTGTATTTCTGGATTGCAGAACAGGGATTTGAAGCCTGGTCTCCAGAATCCCACTGTCTCCAGTGTTGGAACATTATGGCCAACCTTTGCTGGTTTCCAAACATTTGGAGGCCAGCAGGTGATGCTTGCAGACACTACGTTTGTGTGCTTAGTGGCCCCCTTTGTGTGCAACGCAATGTCCTGGTGCCACAATGCAAACCTTGTTGGCCCCTGTCCATGCACAGAGTGCTTTCCCCCCTTCTTCTTCCTCCTTCTTTTGTTTCCTCCATCTCCCAACCTGGGCGCACCTCTCTCTCAATGTCTCTGGATGGAGGGCGAGCACAAAGAGAGCCCTGCCTTGTCATTGGCTGGAAGGGGCGCCAGTCCGCACGTGGGCCCGGCTGGGCTTCCTATTGGCTGGGCGAGGCGTCGCTCTCTTTTCCTCCCTCCTTTCTTTCTTTCTCTCTCTCTCCCCTTTTCCCTCCCTCCCTCCTTCCTTCCTTCATTCCCTCCTTTCACTGAAGGAGGAGGAAGAGGAGGCGAAGGAAACAAGAGAAGGGGGAGGAGAGGAGGAAAAGAAAGGGAGAGAGAGGAAGAGAGGGAGGAAAAAGAGAGAGAAAGGAGGAAAGGAAGGCAAAGACCAAACGAGAGGAAGAAGGAGAAAGAAAGGAGGAAAGAGGGAGGAAAGGAAGGCGAAGACAGAAGGAAAGGAGGAAAGGAAGGCAAAGACAGAGGGAGAAAGAGAGAAAGGAGGAAAGAAGGAGGAAAGGAAGAGAAAGACAAGGAAAGGAGAGAAAAGAGGAGGAAGAGAGGGAGGAAAAAGAGAGAAGGAAGGAAGAAAGAGAGGGGAAAGAAAAAAAGACCAATAGATACAGATAGATACAAAGATAGGTAAATAATAGATACTAGAGATAGAAACATAGAGGGATAGATACATAGAGATACAAAGATGCCAGGTTCCCCTCGGTGGCCCTCTTTCCTTAGAGGCGCCGCATAAAAGGAGGAGGAAGAGGAAGAGGAAGGAAGAGAGGAAGGCTGGGCTCTGCCTCTGGAGGGATGCTCGCCCCATAGGCCCCGATGGAGGGCGGCGGGGGCCGGGTGGAGGACCCTTCCTCTCGCCCCTCGCCATGAGGACTCCTGGCCGCCGGGGAAGGGAGCAGCTCGCCTTCCTCCTCCTCCTCTTCCTCCTCTTCTTCCTCCTCCTCCTGGGCTTGGCGAGGGGCTCCGGCTCGGAGGCGACCCCTTGGAGCAGCCCTTCGCCTTCCCCTGCGGGGCCTCCCACCCAAGACCCGGGCCCCCAAGCCCAGCCCTCCCCCACCGCCACCCCTGGACCCACCAAGCCCGAGGAAGAAAAAGAGGAGGAAGAGAAAGGAGAGCCTTCCTCGCCTCAACCCCCCACGCCCTCAACCCCCTCTCCTCCCCATGGAGAAGAAGAGGAGGAGGAGGAGGAGGAAGAGCCCCTGGTCCACAGCGGGACAGGTGAGTGCCTATTCCAGGCAGAGACTTAAGAGGGGCTTGCGTCAATGACATTCTCGTTGAAAGGTTGCATGCTTTGAGTTTGGGTGTGCACCCATTGTAGAACCCCTTCCGAGACATAGGGAAGGCAGTCCTCGAGTTACGAACAAGGTCGGTTCGTAAGTCGGATGTGTACGTAAGTCGGAACGCGGGCCTTTAAAGGTGGAACTCTAGCTAGATACATACAAAAATCATCCCTGGGCAACGTCCTTGCAGACGGCCAATTCTCTCACAACAGGAGCGGTTGCTCCTGACACGACAAAAAACAAACAAACAAAAAAAAACCTAGATACACACACCCAAACACATATGGTAGCTCAATTACTGATACTGCATTCGACTGTTTTGTAGAGTCCGCTTTAGATACATAGACAGGTAGACCCCGAGTTATGAACAAGGCCGGTTTGTAAGTTGGATGTGTACGTAAGTAGGAACAGGGGCCTTTAAAGGTGGAACTCTACCTAGATACATACAAAAATCATCCAAGTGTCCCCTGGGCAACGTCCTTGCAGACGGCCAATTCTCTCACAACAGGAGCGGTTGCTCCTGACACGACAAAAAAACAAACAAACAAACAAACAAAACCTAGATACACATACCCAAACACATATGGTAGCTCAATTACTGATACTGCATTCGACTGTTTTATAGAGTAACCTTTAGATACATAGACAGGTAGCTCCCGAGTTATGAGCAAGGTCGGTTTGTAAGTTGGATGTGTACGTAAGTCAGAACATGGGTCTTTAAAGGTGGAATTCCAGCTAGATACACACACCCAAACACATAGGTAAGGTAAGGTAGTCCCCTGACATTAAGTCCAGTCATGTCTGACTCTGGGGTGTGGTGCTCATCTCCATTTCTAAGCCGAAGAGCCAGTGTTGTCCGTAGACACCTCCAAGGTCATGTGGCCGGCATGACTGCATGGAGCGCCATTACCTTCCCACCAGAGCGGTACCTATTGATCTACTCACATTTGCATGTTTTCGAACTGCTAGGTTGGCAGAAGCTAGGGCTGACAGCGGAAGCTCACACCGCTCCCCGGAATCGAACCTGCGACCTTTCGATCAACAAGCTCAGCAGCTCAGTGCTTTAACCCACTGCGCCACCGGGGGGCCCTACCCAAACACATATGGTAGCTCAATTACTGATACTGCATTCGACTGTTTTGTAGAGTAACCTTTAGATACATAGACAGGTAGCCCCCGAGTTATGAACAAGGCCAGTTTGTAAGTTGGATGTGTATGTAAGTAGGAACAGGGGCCTTTTAAGATGGAACTCCAGCCAAATACACACACACACACACACATATATATACATGCATACACCCCCCCCCCCCCCCCACACACACACACATATGGTAGCTCAATTACTGTTATTACAGGCGACTGTTTTGTAGGGTCCCCTTTAGATACATAGCCCCGGAGTTATGAACAAGGTCAGTTTGTAAATCAGTTGTATATTTAAGTCGGAACAGGGACCTTTTAAAGTGGAACTCCAGTCAAATACATATGGAGCCCCCGGTGGTGCAGTGGGTTAAACCCCTGTGCCGGCAGGACTCAAGACCAACAGGTCGCAGGTTCGAATCTGGGGAGAGGCAGATGAGCTCCCTCTATCAGCTCCAGCTCCTCATGCGGGGACATGAGAGAAGCCTCCCACAAGGATGATAGAAACATCAAAATCATCCGGGCATCCCCTGGGCAATGTCCTTGCAGACGGCCAATTCTCTCACACCAGAAGCGACTTGCAGTTTCTCAAGTCACTCCTGACACGACAAAAAAAAGTCAAATACATATGGTAGCTCAATTACTGACATTGCAGTCAACTGTTCTGTAGAGGCCCCCCCTAGATACATACACAGGTAGGTTTGTAAGTGGGATGTGTGTGTAAGTCATAACAGGGGACTTTTAAGGTGGAACTCCAGCCAAACACACACACATACATACATAGAACTCCCCCCCCCCCCCTACACACACACATATAGTAGCTCAATTACTGATATTGCAGTCAACTGTTTTGCAGGGTCTCCTTTAGCTATGTAGGCAGGCAGTCCTCAAGTTATGAACAAGGTCATTTTGTTAGTCGGATGTGTACGTAACTTGGAACAGGGGCCTTTTAAGGTGGAACTCCAGCCAAAACACACACACAAATATACATACATACCGCCCACCCCTCACACACACATATGGTAGCTCAATTACTGTTCTTGCAGTCGACTATTTTGTAGGGTTCCCTTTAGATACATAGACAGGCAGTCCTCGAGTTATGATCAAGGTCAGTTCGTAAATCGGATGTGTATGTAAGTCAGAACAGGGGCCTTTGGAGGTGGAACTCCAGCCAAATACACACATATATACATACACCCCCCCCCCCACATCTACACATATATGAAAGCTCAATTACTGATATTGCAGTCGACTGTTTTGTAGGGTCCCCTTTAAATACACAGGGAGTCCCCAAGTTACAAACAAGATCGGTTCAGGAGGTTTGCTCATAAGTTGAATTTGCACGTCAGTCGGAACAGGGGTCTTTAAAAGGGGAACTCCATCTAAATACACACCCTTTGGATATATAGGCATTCCCCCAGTTTTGAACAAGGTTGATTCATAAGTTAAATGTGTATGTAAGTTGGAACAGGGGCCCTTTTTCAGTGGAACTTCAACCCAATCCAAACCCTTTGGATACCTAGGCAGGCGGTCTCCAGTTTACGTACAAGGTCGATTTGTAAGTCGAGTCTGTATGTAAGTTGGAATAGGGGCCTTTTGAAGTGGAACTCCAGCCAAATACGCACCTTTGGGATACCTAGGCAGGCAGTCCCCATGTTACGAACAAAGTCTGTTTGTAAGTCGGATTTGTGCGTAAGTCAGAACAGGGACCTTTTTAAGCCCACACACACATGTATACACATATAATAATAGTAATAGTAATATTACAGGATGGCCTACGAGGTCTCTTCCAACTCTATGATTCTATAATAAATCTTTATTTATATCCTACTTTTTTCCCTATTGGAGAAATGGGAGATCTGTTCGTAAGTTGAATCTGTACATAAGTCAGAACGGGCCTATTAAAGTGGAACTCCAGCCAAATACGCACCTTTTGGATACATAAACAAGCGTTCCCCAAGTCACGAACAAGATAAGTTCATAAGTTGAATTTGTACACAAGTCAGAAGAGGAGCCTTTTAAAGTGCAACTCCAGCCATACACACACACACACACATATATACCAATGATGATAATAATAATAATAATAATAATAATAATAAATCACACAGTCCTAAAAGCTTGGGAAGTATTTGTCTTGTGATTTTTTGATATGAAATCCAGCATATAGATCTTGTTTGCTGTGACATACTGTGGTTTTGTGTCAGAATAATAATATTATTATTAATAATAATAATAACAATAAAAATCATCTTTATTTATATCCCACTTGTCTCTCTGGAGGGCTTTCATCCAGAAAGAGGAAGCAAGTGGGTGGAGGAGCCCTTTGAATATTCATATCCATAATCCTTGATATCCGTATTGGTGTGTGCAAATTTTAATTTGATTCCCTTCTTTATTCCTTATTCATATTCCTTTTCTCTGGATTAGTGCTCCCAGTTGTTAACACTGACTTTGCCAGGCTTTTCTGATCATGCAGCCTGAGGATAAATCAACACATGTTATATATTCCCTATTGATTGTCATTGCCTTTTATTTGTGTGTTGCCCAGGTTGTTTGAAAAAGTCATTTTTTTATTTTACAAAATGCGAATGTTGAACTACAACTCACATCATGCCAGGTTCACCCCTGAAACTCCATCAGTAGTTGAAGTTTGTCATGTTGGGCAAGTTTGCTGTAGATGCATCATTGGGTTCAGTGTGATCTTTGGCTGAAGGTAAACTACGGCTCCCACCATGATGGCTCAGTCTCCTTAAATCCCTTCAGTAGGTTCAGTTGGTCATGGGGGTTCTGTGTGCCAAGTTTGGTCCACTTCTGTCATTGATGGTGGTCACGGTGTCTCTTGAATGAATGTGAACTACAACTTCCAGAAATGAAGGTCAGTTCCCCCTCAAATCCCTCCAGTATTTTCAATTCGTCATGGTGGTTCTGTGTGCCAAGTTAGGTCCAGGGTCATCATTGGGGTTCAGAGTATGCTTTGATTGCAGGAGAACTATAAATCCCAGTACCTACAATGGTTGTAAATCAAGGTGAATTTGCCCCAAACCTCTCTAGTATGTTCAGTTGCTGATCAATGCCTGTCTGCTGTGTGCCATGGAAAATAATAGAAAAAGGATAAGGGAAGGAAAGTAGGTGGGGTCATGCAAATTCCACACCAACAGAGAGAGTAAGGAACACTGGGATGCCTGTGGTGGAGGAAACACAGAAAATCTGGGACGGAATTGTCTCCATATGAAATCCTTCCCTTGGGTATGTTCAGTTGCTGATCAATGCCTGTTTGCTGTGTGCCATGGAAAAGAATAGAAAAAGATTAATGGAAAGGAAGTGGGTGGGGGTCATGCAAATTCCACACCATTGCAGAGAATAAGAAACACTGGGATATACAGAAAATCTAGGATGGAAATACAGAAAAACTAGGATCGAATTTTTCTTTTTCTCTCTCCTTTGTTCATGGGGGTTCTGTGTGCCAAATGTGATCCAGGTCCACTGTCAGTGGGGTTCACAGTGTTCTGACTTGATGCGAGGTGAACTACAACTTCCATCATGAGGAGTCAGTCTCCCAAAGTCCTCCAGTATGTTCAGTTGCAGATCAATGCCTGTTTGCTGTGTGCCATGGAAAAAATAAAAAAGGGTTAAGGGAAAGGAAGTGGGTGGGGTCATGCAAAATCCATGCTAGTGCAGAGTAAGAAACACTGGGGTGTCTGTGGTGGAGGAAATACAAAAAAATTAGGATGGAATTTTCTTTTTTCTCTCCTTTGTTCATGGGGGTTCTGTGTGCCAAATATGGTCCAGGTCCACTCT